GTCTTCATGCTTTATCGTTTCTACTCGAAACCAAACCCAGCCATGATGAAGAGTTGTGGCGTTTTTTCCTGAGCGTGAAGCCGGCATGACGATAGGTCTCTGACCAGTTGTCATTGCTATTGATGATCGTTCACTTTCCATCTTCGATGGGAAGCGAGGGAAAGAATGCTCTCAGAGTGGTTGCTATAATGAACACATAAAAAAACTAACAAAATAAAACTTTTCATTTGATATAAAATTTATTTACAACTCAAAAATTTAACAACTACAATGAATTTATTTGTTTTAATGAATTTACTTCACTATAAAATCAATAATTTCTATCTATTTGGTTAATGGAAGCTTAATTTCATCTTTTTCTTCTATTACAACCGTTTCCAGATTGTTTCTATACTTAAATTGAACTTTAAGCACTTTGTTTTCTCCTATCGCGGGGTCATAAAATCCGGGAAGTTCATACTGAAGAAATAAGAGAAATTGTAGTCAAAAGTGTTTAATAATTAACCATGTTACCTTTAACGATGTGTGCACTGTGATATTGCTGTCCTTCACTAAACATTGAAGTGGAATTTTAACATCAATAAAACTGCTTCTATCGTCTGCTACCATCTCTTCCAAGTTATCTATTTATAAACATGAAATAAATAATAATTTGTGGATGCAAATTATTCTTATTCTCACCCTCATCATCGTCAAATTTTCCATAGAATGCATGAAGGATGACTAAACCAGCTTTAGCTTCTTCTTCCGAACAAATTCTTTCATATTGAGCCAACATTAATGAAATTGCAGCCTCAGCTTCTTTTCGTCTCTGTTGCAGTCTCTCTTCATACATTTCTTTCTTTTTCTCAATCACTTCTCGTTGTTTCTCTGACTCCAAAGGCTCAAGAATGCATTTCTTCAGAATGAAATACGAGATAATGGGCAGCGTTGTAGCGTAGAAAAGTGCGGCTGGGATGATTTCTTCACTTAACTGAATATTGAAATTGTAAGATTGTGATGATCGAATGAAACGAATTTTTAAAGCGACTCCAGTTGGGACTCCAAATGTGACTGAAGCATGAAGCGATGAATACTTGCTGACTTTTTTCTCTACGCCATATTCAGCCATGAAACCGAACGTTCCAACTTTTCCGGCTAATTTAAGTTTCATTTCTTGTTCAATGAGACGACGAATGTAGTTACACGAGATAAACGAATGTGGGAGTCCAAGGGAAAATGTTAAATTCACGTAATTTCTTTCTGTATTTCGTTCAATGATTGTTGATAATGATGATTGCATACCAGCAGCTGAATATGTGAGATAACCGACTGTGTGCTTATCAAGTTGAACTGCAAACGTTCCAACAAGTGCCGGCACAATTCCATTCGGACGAAAATTCAAATTCAATTGACCTGTAGTGAAATATCTTTTCCCAAGATTTCTTGTTCCTTTGCCACCAAGATTTAGGCCATTTCCAGCACCGACATCAACTTCTATCCAACCTTTTGAGCTTAGAATTTTGCGCGCTGATAATGTAAAGCGACCATTACCTTGACCATTTGAAACACTTAGATTTCCAGCTAATGTTGCTACATTATTTGAGGACATCGGCACTTCGATAGATTGAAACATTGTCATACCAGCAATTTCAATATTTGAAAACATTCCAGGTTCACTAAAAACCAAAAATAATTTTAATTTTCTTTTATCAACAAGGGAAAACAAATGCTATTTACTCATAATCCGTCTCGTAAGAGTTGAAAATATCAGTACAATTGACATGAAGTGTTATGTTTCCTTTTGGATTCGTCAGTTGTTGAAGTCTTCTTTCTTCCTTCTCTCTAGCTAACCTTTCATACTCTTCACGAATTTCTGATGGTGAGGATTTCCTAAAGACAAATATTATGTGTGACACATCAATTGAATATATTAAATACTTAATTAACTCACCTAGGAATTAATTGTAAACCATCTGTTCGAAGTCCTTTTGTTCCAAGAAGATCATAAATTTGCCGATCTTCAGGACTACTCAGCACAGCATGAGCAGTTTTTATTCTATTGAAAATCATCTCAGCATCTTTCTTCTTCGCAGGATCAATATGCTTGTCAGGATGAAATTGTCTTGATAATTGCTTGTAAGCAGTATTAATTTGCTCAAGAGTCGCCTGAATGAAATCGAAAATGTAAGTTGCGAAACAAATGAAAATTTTGTTATTAACAAATTATGAATAATACTCACATCCCTCGGAAGATTAAGAAAAGCGTAATAATCATCATCTACTTCTAATAATTCTGCGTCATCCATTATTATTGATAAAGTTAAATAATTTATTTAAACCAAATGTTTTTCGGGGAAAATAAGCGGCGTTATATTAACTAAAGACGGCGCCGACAAAATATTGAAATGTCACCGGTGAAAAGTTACAAGCTCCACGGAGTGTAGAAGTCCTAAACAATAGTAAACAGGAAAATTATAAACTACCTATTTCCAAAAATAAGAATATCCTGTCAAATTTGATGATAAATTTAGTTTAATTCGCTAAAAAAGGTAAATAGTGATGCTATCAACATGGATTAAAGTTAAAATTTATTGAATTAATCATGAAATTTTAACTTTTCAATTTCACAATTTCAATTTGTTTATGTTTTGGTTTTTAGCGCGGGATCTTCCGAAAGAAAAAAAATGTTTTCAAAAGGAAAAAGAATTCGAATGGACGAGATGCCACCCATGGAATATGAATCATATTAGTAAGTTTCATAAATTTAAATATTTGTTTAAGTTATTAATGAAATATTTTAGTATGGGTGACAATCCTTCTTACAATGAGGACGAAGCTGGTCCATCAGGCCAGAGAATGACGAGATTGCGAGCTCGTGGTGGAGTGCCAACAAAACCTCCCATAATTGACGAAGATGATGAAGATATTTTCATGGCAAATCGTAAAAGAAAAATTCCAAAACCAGTAAAAGAAAAGATTGAACGTGAACCAAAACCACCAAGAGCACCTCGTGAACCAAAACATCAAGAGCCAGCGGAAGAACGTGTTGTCCGTGAACGAGAGATTACAACTGATGAAAGCAGTTTGTTTTGGATTCTTCGTTATTCGAAAAATACTATAACTGTAAGGATAAAAGATTTAAATAACATTTCAAAGCATTTTAATTGTGAAAAACTTTCAGATAATTGTAGACGAGTGGATTGATAATTACAAGATTGATCGTGAAACAGCGTTAATTGCTTTAATGCAATTTTTTCATCAATGCAAGCGGATGTAAAGGAAAAATAACACCAGAAATGCAATCATCAATGGAGTACACAACAATAATCAGAAAAATGACGGAAGAGTTTGATGAGGAAAGCGGAGAATATCCGCTGATTATGGCTGGACAACAATGGAAAAAGTTTAAAAGTCATTTTTTGTGACTTCGTTTAGTCACTTACCAAGCGATGTCAGTATTCAATAATCTACGACCAGTTCTTAATGGACAATGTCATTTCGTTGTTAACTGGATTGTCGGATTCTCAAGTTCGTGCTTTTAGACATACAGCAACACTTGCCGCAATGAAATTGATGACAGCTTTAGTCGACGTCGCACTTCTCGTAGCAATAAATTTTGATAATGCTCATCGTCAATACGACGGTGAAAGATTGAAACCAGCACATGATGTGTCGGAAGATCGAATTGAAAGTTTACTTGCTAAACGACAAGAGTTAGAAGAGAACATGGACGAGATTAAAAACATGCTCACATATCTTTTCAAATCGGTTTTCGTTCATCGATATCGTGATACATTGCCAGAAATTCGTGCAATTTGTATGACTGAAATTGGAATTTGGATGCAGAAATTCTCATCAAATTTCTTAGATGATTCTTATTTGAAATATATTGGATGGACATTTCATGATGAAGTTGGCGATGTTCGATTACGATGTTTACAAGCATTACTGCCATTGTATGAAAATGAGGAATTGAAAAGTAAACTCGAACTTGTCACATCGAAATTTAAAGATCGAATTGTTGCTATGACATTGGATAAAGAATATGAAGTTGCGGTTCACGCTGTAAAGCTTGTCATTAAAATTCTGAAGATACATCAAGACATTCTCACAGATAAAGATTGCGAAATTGTCTACGAACTTGTTTATTCATCGCATCGTGGTGTTGCACAAGCTGCTGTTGAATTTTTAAACGTTAGATTATTCTTTATTAACCCAACAGTTGAATCTTACACACGTCGTGGAAAGAAACGATTATAAAACACTCCACTCATTCGTGACTTGGTTCAGTTCTTCATTGAATCGGAACTTCATGAACACGGCGCTTATTTAGTTGATGCTTTCATTGAGAACAATCCGATGATTAAAGATTGGGAATGTATGACTGATCTCTTACTTGAAGAAACGGGACCAAACGAAGAAGTCATGGATAACAAACAAGAGTCATCATTAATTGAGATCATGGTGAGTGCAGTGAAGCAAGTCGCATTAGGTGAACCACCAGTTGGTCGTGGAAGTAATCGACAAAAAACTCTCTCAGCCAAAGAGATCAAACAAGTTCAAGATGATAAATCGAAGCTTACAGAACATTTTATTCAAACTCTGCCATATTTATTGGATAAATATAGCGCTGAAAACGAAAAGCTTATCAATTTGTTGAGCATTCCACAGTATTTCGACTTGGAGATGTACACGACATCGCGACAAGAAGCTTCACTTAAATTACTTCTTGATAAAATTACTCTCATCATGTCAATCAGCACAGATCGTGAAGTGTTGGAAGCTTGCGCTAAAACACTTGAATTTCTTTGTACCGAAGGCAGTGCAATTTATACACAATGTGACGTCGCACGATCAAACATTATTGACTTGAGTGTTAATGGATATAAAGAAGCTATTGATGATTGGAGAAATTTGATTGCTGGCGAGGAGACGCCTGATGAAGATGAAATTCATCAGGTTTGCATAAGTTTAAAGAAAGTCTCGATTCTTTATTCTTGTCATAATTTAAATCCATGGAGTTTGTTTACTTCATTATTCCAAGATATTGAGGAATATTTAGCAGATACGACACATGAAAAGAGCATTCCAACAGAGGCTTTGATTTATTGCATTGAATCATGTTTCTATTCAATCAGTTGGGGTTTAAGTACAATTGAATCGTCATTTGAATCGTCAGCTTTGGCTTACACTGCAGAAGAATTGCGACGGAATTTGGAGAAGTATATGGACGTAATTAATAAACTGATTCCAGAAGCTGACAAGATTAGCATCAAAGAAGCTGTAAATTTATTTTCCTTTTCACTAAAATAAATTTTTTAATATAAATTTATTTTCCCATCCAGGCTTATCTTTCTCTTTGCGATTTGCTTGTCATTTTCTCAGCTAATCTTGGCAAAAGTGCAAATCGATATGTTCAAATGATGGAATATCGTCCGACTGAAATTCAGAAGGAGCTTCTCATAAATTTCGTAAAAACTTATGTTTTCTCATTACGATATGAAGAAGTTCAAGATGAGACAAGAATTGAAGAGTTGCATAAGAAAAGAAATTATTTGGCAGCTTATTGCAAGCTTGTTGTTTACAATATTCTTCCGACAACAGCTGCGTGTGAAATATTCAAATTTTACATCAAGGTAAGGAAAGATTTCTTACATTCATTAATCTAAAATGATTGATTTTCTTTCTGTTAAAGTTTTACAATGACTATGGTGACATCATTAAAGCAACACTTTCAAAGACTCGTGAAATGAACAAAATTAACTGTACTATGACAATGTGTATGAGTCTTAAAACATTATTTGAAGAAATTTTAACATTTTCATCACCGGAAAAAATCTCACGAACATCACAAGACTTTTCCGATCTTAAAGAGTTAGCAAAACGTTTTGCTTTGTCATTTGGCTTAGATGCAATTAAGAATCGTGAAGCTGTTACTGCTTTGCATCGTGCTGGAATTTTATTTGCAGCTCAACATTGGAATTCTGACGATTCGACAATTCCACCAAATTTACTTTTCCTTGAGATACTCAACGAGTTCACAAACAAATTATTGAAGCAGGATAAGAAAGTTGTGTAAGTAAAATGAAAAGTTAATTTTGTTTTGTAATTTATAATATCTTTTCTTTGTTCAGTTTAAATTTCCTTGATCGTCGCATTTCTATGGCAAACATGCCATCAACACATAGCGAAGATTGGCAGCCTCTCATCAACTATCGCAATTCTTTACTTCATGGAGAGTCCGATCAAGTTGGTCCAATACCTGTCAACAAAAAGGTTTACGTTCGTAAAGGCAAGAAGAATCAAGGCGGTGATGAAGAAATCGACGAGAGCATATAAATTCATTTTTTGATGTGAGGAAAATTAAAATTAAAATAAATTTTTTTCTCTTCAGAAAAAATCTCAAGATGCGCAATAATTTTATTAAAAAATATCTCAACATGAGCTTCTTATGTTCCTTTACTACGCCGCAATAATCTAAAACACCCCATTTTGTGTTACTTACATTCCCACCCCAAATAAAACTTCTTCTCATGACTCACTGTTACGTGAAGCGTGGGAAATTCGTTTTTCTTTTTCTTTTGTTCGCGCAACCCTCCTGAAGACGGAAGATTTAAAATCATGGTTTGGTGGCGGAGTTGTGATGAAGGGAATGAAGAAAGAAAAATTCTCGTTACCCTCTTGAAGTTGCTTTCTCGCCCAACACGTTCACGTAAATAAATATTAAGCAGAGAATCTCAAGGTGTGTTGCGACATTACTTCTAGTTTGCTTCCATTGTCGGGACCCTACGCAATTCTTTATGCTTTATTTCGCTATTTTTATTTTAATGAGTTTTTTCATTATTCAATTTATGATTTGAACATCTGCTGAAAATTCAAGTAAAGTTTCTTAATGTTTCAGGAACCATCAAGTTTCCACCAATTTCTTTCTTCATGTTTTTTAGGGATGAATGCGTAGTTACGCAGTCGATGTAAGCATATAATTATTAATGACAATGCTTTAGTCATTTCACAGCATAAAAGGAATGTTTTGATATTAAAATCAATTGAATTATTACGAGCTTTAGAAGCTATACGATTCTGATCGGTTTTTATTGAGTTGAGCTTTTAATTTCGCGCTCTTAATTACGCGCGTAAAAAACTTATCGAAAAGTTCAGACGCCTTCACATTTTTCATATAATTTCTTTTGTTCATATTTTCTCATAAAATAAGGAAGTAACAATGAAAAAACTGATACGCAAGATATTTCTAGCAAAATCCTGCGTCGTCCTTTTGTTATGCAAAATTGCATCAGTCGTAGAAACCTGAGAAACTTGAAAATATTAAAAGGGGAACGAAGAAAACATTGGAAAACATCCGAAAAAACATTAAACCCGAAGGGGTGTGACTTTGCGTATTGTGAAATCACATTTTAAAATTTCAGTCATTTTCTAACTTCGGAATAGTGAAGAAGTAGTTTCTTCGCTAATTTTTTTAATTTTATTATTATTTTTGTGTTGCATTCACCAGATTAAAAACAATTAATTTATCTGCTTAAACATTAACAAAATTAAACTATTAATTGTTGAATCCTTAGTCTAAGTGATTTGTTGTTGAGAAATTCAATTATTTTTCTATAATATAAAAAAGAAATCAACAAAAGAAAGAAAAAAATAATTGCGAGAGCGAAAAAATAAAATTTTCATTATTTTTTGATGAGAAAAGTCGCAAGGAAGAACGTGAAAAGTGTTTTTCGAAGCTTGTTTTGATCATTAATGCTTACAAAGGATTTAAATAGTGCTTTAATCAAACATAACACGAGTGAATGCAGCTCACGAACTCTCACGATATATTAATCAACTCACTAATCAATTAACAAGAAGAAAACTTTCGGATTAACAAAGTTACGAGAAGAATTTCGCGTAGTGCTTTTGTCGCCGCATCGTAAAAGGAAGATCAAGCAAATGACCAAAGCGAAGAAATTCTCAAAGCGAGTACAAATTCCAACAATTGAAGGTAATTAAAAATTACATCTCACGATCGTTTCTCTCCCTCTCTGTATCTGCCACAACTCAAAGGTGCATTGGAATGTTTTAAGTAAAAAAAAACATATTGAAATAAATAAAAAAAACAAGCAGCACTTATAGAAAATCGCGCATATCTGTAGGAATCAGAAAATGATCAGTTTGATGACGCTACGTTGATTCCACAAGCGATGACCAGTGAACATCAAATTAATTCACCTGATATTTTTATTTTTTTCTTCTTTTTCTTCTTTTCCTTCATTTCCAATCTCCATCTCGGGTGAGCTCGCGCGAGTGAACGTTAATCAATTCAACGTTCAGCATTAATGAGAATTGGAAAAGTTTTATTAATGCTTCACCTACAATTACACACATTTATACAATCGGGTCGAAAGATTTGCTTGTTGCGTCCGAGCCCCCCTCATTTTTCTCAACGACGAGATCTCCACCTTCCCATCAATCCATCTCCGGTCGCGCCGCGAGATCTCTCGTAATTTAATTGGAATTCAATCTTTTTTTTATGGTTTTTTTTCCTTCTGTTGCTCGATTTCATAAAATAAAAAAAAACGCACGTAGATTTTCTCTCTTTCGACACACACTGAATCTGTATATGATGTTGGACATTTGTTGATTGTGTGGATTGACCGCCGTTCTCAGAAATTGGCCATTCACTGGCACTTTTTCTTTTGCTGTTCCTTTTGGCCTCTGATTGGGATTTGTTTCAAGATTTGATGACGTTTTTGTAGGTGGAATATGACGGACGAGTTTGAATTTCAAAAAAATCTTCATTCCGTCTTATTCTTCAGTTAAGCCTTCCGTGATGATTCTTAATTAAAAATATAAAAAAATTTAATACATCTTTCCAAACGTAAGAAGCTTGTTTAAGAATTTAAACTTCCATTGATCGAGTTGACGTCTCAGAGAAAATGGAAAAACATGGGCAGCGAACAACGCTTATAAGAATAATAAATATTGAACAGAAACGAGATCAGAATCCATACAGGCTATAATTACAATAATTTAAAATCTTCTGCAGATGTTACTGTCCATCGTCATTCAGCAAAAATACACGCAGCGGAAGATGCAACGCAAGTAGAATAAATTCGCTGCTCCGCTATCCTCTTGCTCTCTCTTTTCCTTGCTTTTCTTCTTTAATATTCCACCTCAGAATCGATTATCATCATTATTAGCCTCCTTCGTAATAATGAAACATGAAACAACATCCGAAATTCATCCCCGATTCATTCATTCAAATTTTCATTCGCTGTTTTTCTGCAATGAAAAAGTTGTGCATGAAGTTTCGCTTATTTTTATATTTTGTTTTCTGTTAATTTTGTTTCTTTCCAACCTTCTTACATGTGAGCAGCATCTTTGAAAACAACAAAAAAAAATTGTTATTTGGATTTTGATTTTAATGATGTGAGGGAGATGATGAAAAGAAATAAGAAAAAAAAATAATAAAAATACCAGAAAAGATCAGGGCTTTGTGAATGGACCGAACCGTGAACTGTTTCGGGTCATCCTTGAATGTTACGACGGAGAAGAAACGAAAATGAAAAATATTGTTCCACTTGAGTGTATGTTAAAGTTAAACTCCCACAATAACGGGTCACCGATCCGGCTGGGATCACATCATAAAAAGAGAAATATAAAAAAACGACCAAACACAAGTCCAATCTTCATGTGAACATATCGGGCCGCGGTAATGAGATGAACATTTCTACTTCTTTTATTTGTTTCCACCTTATTCTACTTTATTTACTGGTTTTCTTGCTTCTTCGTTGTAGCGCCTTCGATTTCTTATTGTTTTTCTCTTCTATTGTTGCTCGTCCACTGTTTGTCTGTCTGTCAAGTCACGATTATCAAGCTCACAATCCCATGAACCTGTTAAAGCAACTTTTATATTATGTTTTCTCATTCTTTCTTCACTTCATTTTTGCGCGCAACATGAATTTTTATGCTTTGACGAACATCATAAAATGCGCGCTTCGCCATCCACCCACCTGCAATTCAATCCATCTTGAACCGATGTTTTCTTTCATTTTCCCTCTTCTCCCATTTACCGTAACTACTTGCTTATGTTGTGTGCTTGTCTTGCTTGCACGAAAGCCAAAAGAAAAAAAATTGATGTGGAGAAGAGAAACGAAAGAAGACGAAGAAGAGAAGGCAAGAAACAGACATAACAGGTGAAATTTGTAATTATGTGGATGGAACCATCGGCATTGTTGGTTGTTGTTGTTGTTAACCATCGCACACACCATCATAGTCGCGGGTGGAATTAAAGAGAAGGCAAGAAAAAAATATATAAAATATGTATGTTATATTAAAACAAAAAGAAGCATCAACTCTCCATGTGTGCTGCCCATCGCTGTTGTTATTTCTTTTCGAGAGAATTCTTCAGCTTGCTTACTGGTTTCATTTCTTGCTTGACCGTCTTCGCGAGATGAAAAATTGCTTCTTCTTTCGTCTTATGTGACGCTCTATTCTCATACATATTAAGTTTGGACGCTTGCGAAATTATCAACATCAAGTTGACTCTTTTTTTTGTTTCATTTTTCGTAGATCATTTTCATATCGTGATCAGAGCCAATCTTCTGGTATTTTAATTTTATTTTTCGTACTCTCCAGGCGGTTTGTGACGTTATTATGGAATCTCATTATAAATTAACTTCTTATTTAATCCCGTTTGATTGCTTTCGATCATCAGCCAGAGAGAAACGAAAGGAAAAAAAATGGAATGTATTCACTTGAAAATCGCCTATGACCGTCTCATAATCACTCTCTTCACCCTATGTTGCCCAATTATAGACTGATGTTGAATTTATATTTTTTTCTTCTCTCTTCTGTTACTTCATCACGCTGGTGTGTGCTCCATAAGCACGGTTTTGAAAGAAGTCGATGAATGAATTTCCAATTTGGGTTGGCTTGGACTTGTGCTTTTTTTTGTTATTTTCTTCACTGCTACTTGCTTTTGGTCCATCGTCTCAATCTCCACAGCAATTTAATTCGCCGGATGTGGACTCGATGTTCGTCAATTTTACGTTTCGTTACAAAAAAAAAACTAGCAAAAAATGAACCAAAATTTGTATAATTTCACACACGTTCGCCGACGGACATTTTCTAATTCACCTTTCTCATTGCTTTACGAATGCTGTTTTTTTGTTATCTTTTTACAGATGAAATACGGTTGGCAATAGAATGTGAAATGTGTCTCCACCAGCATCTTGAATGAGTTCAATCAAACGGAAATATTGAAGACAACAAGAAAAGAAAAGAAAAGAAAATTACAAAAAAAGAAAAAAGATTAAATCGCCATTCGAGAAGCTTTTGCAGAAGAATGACGATGGCCGATCATCATAACACAAATGGACCGTCAATGCCGTGTCAGATGAGTCCATCAAACGAAATGGAGCAATCGGATGCATCATGTAACAGAAGTGATCCCAAAAAAAGGAAAAGAAAAAGACTGTTAGCAGTTTTGGATAAGCTGCATCATAACAATACTAACAGTAATAACAATAACAACAACATCTTAGTCAATAATAATATTATAGCAACGACAACGAATGATGATGATAATGTTGATGATGATGATAATCAGGGAGATGATAAGACAATAAACATCAACAACAACATGCATTTAGCAAGATCGATGCAAGAAAATGCTGAAATCTTAAGAAATTTATTTGCATTAAGTCGAAGTCTCCCAACAACACATCCCGCCTTTCCTTCGCCATTTGCAGCACTTTCATCGCCAAGTTATGAACATAACAACAATAATAAAAATATTAATAATAATATTAACTTCATTGCACCTTCACCGGATAAAATGTTACTTAATGGCAGAGTGAAGATGGAAGTGAAAGAAGAAGTGATGGATGAAGAAGAGACGACAGCGACCGTGCAAGACACGAAGACACCGTTACATGAATTTCTTCATCATCAACTACCAAAGACAACTTTCAATAATCAATCGTTGTCGTTAAGACATCATCATCAACAACAACAACAATCGTCATTATTTTATCAGCACACAAATGGATTCTTTCCAAATCAAATTCAAGATGCACCACTCGATCTCTCAATGAAAACATTTAAGCGACGACAAAGTTCGAGTAGTACGAGTAGCTCGCCATGTTTAACAAAGCAACTTCTTATGCAACAAACAGAACAGAAGCTTAATGCAGTGTTACATCCGTTGGGAATTCAAGTGCCGAAAGATTGTAGTATCAGCATTCAAACAACGCCGAACAGTGCATCATCGTCACCACATCAGCTACCTCAGTATTATCAGGATTTGAAAGTATCTCCGATTGTGGAAGAAATTGCACCGGGTTCGAATAATGTCGCTTACGTATGTCCAATTTGTGGTCAAATGTTCTCTCTTAACGATCGATTAGCCAAGCATATTGCATCACGTCACAAAACAAAAAGTCCAGCATCGGAAACGACTAAAAGTTACGTATGCGAGGTTTGTGACCGATCATTTGCGAGGTGAGATTTAATGACAATCATGTTGATAGATTAATGTTGGTAATAAAAATATAAATTTTTTTCTTTAGATCTGATATGCTTACGAGACATGTTCGACTTCATACTGGTGTTAAACCTTACACTTGTCTTACTTGTGGTCAAGTCTTTTCAAGATCCGATCATTTATCAACACATCAAAGGACTCACACTGGTAAGAATCTTCAACTATCTAAATACTTGATAGCAATATCATTGATGATCATTTACTTTAGGTGAGAAACCGTATCGATGTCCACAATGCAACTATGCAGCTTGTCGTCGTGATATGATCACCAGACATATGCGAACACACGCACGTTACGAACAAAATGGTCAACCACCGAGAAAAGGAACGAAAATTAAAACTGAAAAGATTAAAATGGAAAATAAAGTTGATGAGCCAACAAAACTAACAGTAAATAACATAAACAACAACAACGATCTGTCGATGTTCAATCAAAATAGTTTGGAGAATCTCAATGAGCTCAGAATGAAGATACAGGAAAATTTATTAGCTGGCAATGGTGCACTTATGCCAAACGATATTTCAAATCTCAAACGTGAGATAAAAATTGAATTTTAAAATGCTGGGAAATCTGATGATGAATGAAACTCATTTAAGATGACGCTTAATTATCAAATGGGGAACAGTTTATCAAATTTGTGTTTTTTTCTTTTGTAAATTTATTCGAATTTCATCGAAGATCGAACTTTCCTCAACCTTCGACAATGTTAAGTTTCTATAATAAGTAAATTGAGTTTCACTTGAAAATTTTTATTCTCTAAATTGATATTATTGATGAATTTCCTTTTTTTTCTCTGTTTTTGGTGCGTGATTTTTTACTGTTGATTTTTTTTAATTTTACAATTTTCATTTGTTGTTTGACAAAATCATCTTCAAATTCGTACTAATTCAATCATTTGTGTTGAAGCATATAAGAAGACAAACTAAGAATTGGTTGTGACAAAACAAAAAAAAAACAATCATAAAGTGAATTGTTGAATGAAAAGGAAAGAAGGAAAAGTTTTTCCATAGCCCGTTGAATTAAATGATGAAAAAAGCTTTGAAATGGAATGAAATGATCCAGTGCCTTACACATTTTAAATTCAATAGATGAGCATCCCTTAAGTGGGATAAAAAGAATTCAAACTTTATTGCTGCCTTGTCACTCGCCTCTTGAACAAGTGAGACATTCGTTCCCTTGGAGAATTTTGTCTCACATTAAAATCTTTACACACAAAAGTAAAAAAAAATGTTACAAAAATTTGAACACTAGAAATTAATTGATTGACACAAATTTTAAAACTTTTTCTTCCCTTTTTCTCGTCTCTTTCTTGTCTCAAGCTCTGATTGATGAAATTCCATTTTCTAATCTCTTTACACAAAACATATTTTGACAAAAAAAAAACTTTTCAACTAAATCTACTTAAGTGCCAAATGAAAAAGAAGCTTTTTGAAAAATTGTTATTAACTTTCTTTGATTTACATTTGTCGATATGTAAGATGAGAAGTTTATGATACAAATGAAGAATTTTGTTGAAACAATTGCTTGCCTTCCTTCACTTTTTATGAAATGAATAATATTTATCCAGTGATCCACGTCCATTCCCTATCGGCAAGGAATTTAAGAACCTCAAGATTGTATACTTAAGACATTTCATTGAAAAGTTAAAGAATCAACAAGAAAAATTATCTTGAGGTTCTTAAATTCCTTTTCGAAATAATTTTGAGAGAAAGCAAAATCTCATTAATTTGTAGAATGATTCCATTGGAATCAAATCAATTTGTACTGGCCAGTTATCTATAAGATACATGATGAATACACTCCCTCAACTTGTTTTTATTATCAAGTGTTTTTTTCCCCTCTAAAGGTTTAAGTTTAAGTTTTTCCATAAGATTAAAAATTTATGAAGAAAACTGTGTGAAGATCTCAAGTTAATTTTTTTTAGTTTCTCCATGAAAAGGAAAAACGATTGCATAGCATTAGACTGTTAAGAATTTTCAACAAAAACAAAAAAAAAATGTAAACAAAAAAAATTATTTTTAGTAATTGGAATGAAAGTTTTGTATTTAAGAATTTTTTCTTTTGATCTAAGAAAATGTTTTCATTTGTAAGTTTGGGAAATTCCCTGGAATTATTAATGTCAATGGTTCTTTTCTGTTTTTAAGATGTTTGAAGTTTGATGAAAAGATGAAAAAACAAAACGATTTAAACCCGTATTGTATAATCTCTTGATAAGTGGGTCGTTAAAAAGACGTAAAATGTTTGTTTTGTTATAAATTTAAGGACATGTTGAAGACTCATTTTCTAAAGGCATTTTTATACGTACGAACATCATCAGTCTCTCTAAATTTTTTTAAATTTTTCGTATTAAGATTAATGTTCACCTCAATCAACAAGCACAAACAATATTTTTATTTTCGACAGTGATTTAAAATCCTTCATATAATGAGTTATAAAATCAAATGAAAACAATAAAAAAGCATTTTGATATCCTTCAGAAAAAAACAAAAGAAATAATAAAACAAATAAAGTGTATTTGTTATTAAAAAGACATTTTTTACCTTGAAGATATTCCTTTGATTACGTAGATATCTATAAAAGAAAACCCAAATTATCACATTTTTGTACGTAAATAATTTTAAGGCATTTTTTTTCTCTGGAGAAGATTTTATAACTTTCTCTTGTAAATTTTAAGACATCGCAATTATTTAATGAAAGAAGGTTTGTTTTTATATCGCATTAAGTTTATTTATTTAATCTCTTCTCTTTTTCATTGCAAGTTGTTAATTTTTCCTCCTTTTTTTTTGAGTACCTACATAGATAAAGAGAAGGAAACTTGAAACATGAACCTTTGTTATGAATAAAAGGATAAAAAAAAAAGAATTTTCAAAGAACTTTAAATTAAAACGGCTTTGAATTTAAATTCCGTTTATTTTCTTTCAGCTGTTTTTCTAGGAAATCAATTTTCCAGTATTTGCGGAAGTGAGCGTTATGTTGCATCGTCAAGAACAACACGATTTTCCTTTTTCTCTTTCTCTTCGGAAAACCACGCCGTGTAGTAAAATGTATCGTTGCCAAGCTTCTCTCAAATGCTTCTCCTTACAACGCAGACTCAAGCCAACATTTGTCTCTCTTGTGACACAACAAAACAACATTTTCCCATGTTTCATTCACTTCTATTTTTCCACAGCACAACTCAGAAAGAAAAGCGATCTCATTAAAAAATTTTCCTTCATCGTCTTAGGATTTGTTACGGAATAAAAAAAAGTTTTTATTTGTTATCTGTTTTAAATAAAACTTTAATCGTATCTCTGTGTAGCTGAAAATTTAGTTGATTGATTGTGATTATCTTTGAACGAAACAATTGATTGTTACGTGTTTCGATTCAATAGATTTGTGCTGTTAATTGTTTGGCCAGAAACGAAAGTTTTTTTTGCTCATCTCACAAATAAAAAAGGAGGAAAATTATTGTCACAAAAAGTGTAGGAGTGAGAAGGAGAGAGTTGTAAGTTGATTTAAAATAATTTTTTATGATTGAAAGAAAATCTTTTGAAATTAATTTTTAATCCTATCTTAATTGAACCGTAATTGATTTTCTCCTTGATACTTTTTTTCCTTCGGTTTTGACTTTTTTTTTCCTTTCTTCCTTCCTTTCGTTTCGCTCTCGCGCTGTATGTAAGGGAATTTTATATATTTCGTTACAACAACAACGTTTGTGTGTCACCCACCCAAAAGAAAAATAAGAAAAAAAAATTCAACCCAAAAATTGGATTGAATTACAAGTTTCAAAGGATTTTTCTTCTTTTTTTCCATTCAACTGTTTTCTGTCGCACGCTCAAAGTTTAAGTGATTTTGTTTATTTACTGAATTAATCATTCATTCGTGTACGATTAACTTGTATCAACAACATCTTGTTGTCTCACATATATTTAGAAAGGATTAAAAATGACTGAATCACAATTGCCAGCGGCCGCTGCCGCCCAAAAGTTCGGTACACTCATCCCGAATCGTATTTTCGGTAAGTTGTTTAAAAACCTTGTGACGTGACAAAGCAGTTTATTAAAGATTTCCTTTATTTTCCTGACATGTCGCAATTTTCAAACCTAACTTACTGCCGCTTGCTTATAATGTTCATCATCACGGTCCAGTTGGCGGAATAAGGTAATAAATTATCCTAGCTCAGTGAATGCCCAGTTTTTCTCTTTTCACATTTCGTTCCGTTTTCGCCTTGAAATTAAACAAACCAAAAAAATCTTTTTTGTCTTTTAATTGTTAAAAATTTTAGCGCCGAAACCACCGAGAGTGAACTTTGTAGAGTTTTCTCAGCTTATGGCAACGTAAAGTCAACGAAAATTATTGTAGACCGAGCGGGTGTATCAAAGGGCTACGGTTTTGTCACGTTCGACACACCAGCGGTAATAGACTCGTTAATGGTGAGTGAAACAAAAAGCAAAAAAGAGAATGAAAAAGACTTTTCTCGATGCGATGGAATGAACATAAAAATGTCTGTGGAAATAGGAATTAGTTAATGGATTAAAGTATCAGGAAAAATATTTCTTTGGCTTTTCAACCACCATCAGTAAACATATTTTTCTCTGTTCTATTTATTGAAACCCTTTCATTCATTTTAGGGACGTTGCGTCATCCTACGCGACCGCAAGCTTAATATCGCTCCAGCAATTAAAAAGCAAACATTCTGCGCTCCAAACGAGACTATTTACTATGCTGCTGCCGCACATCCCGGACTCATCAATAATATTCCAATTGAACAATTTCCTCCAGCACTTTATTCGCCAGGTGGGAATGAGAATGAAAATTTGTTGTGCAATTTACATAAGGGGAAGAAGATGAGATGTTTGATCATAATCTTTAAGATGATGCATCATACACTCAAGATCTTTCTCGGTTTAGGGGAGTGAAAGGGATTATAACGAAAATTCAATTTAATTTTTTTTTCTTCTTTTTTTCTTCTCTCTCCATACACCCTAATTGAATTTACAGGCGTTCCATCTGCAGCTCTTTATCCGCCAGCAATGTCATATCCATTCTACCAACCCGTCATTCAACCTATGGTAAATATTAAACTTCACTTAAAGTCCAACTCATACCTAAGCGCTTCTCAAACCTTTTTTTTTTGTTTATCTCGTTCGCAACGCTCTGAAATTCTCATGATTGCCATTTAAATTAATTTTAAATTAACTCTCGCTTGCTTGTCTCTTTTTTTTCATATTTGTATTATAAACAACGCATACGAAAATAGAATGTACCAGCAATTTGGCCACCGAATTATCAAGGTAAAAACACAAAAATATTTATTTACCTAATGAAATAAGAATTGTTAAAAAATTTATTCAACATTTTGTGTCAAAACCCTGTGATGAAATATTTGAGATGAGAAATATAATAAAAAACGAAAGTATCGTATCAATTAAAGCCATCTAGGCTTAAGTGATAATCCACTTGTGTAGGAAAGCGACACCACGAGTACCAAGCTAGTATCAATATTTCATTCTCGCTTGCGAATATCTTTTAAATAATTCACGATCTGTTCGTGACTGATGTAAAAGGACCTGGCAAATTTTTCACGTTACTTTCGGAAAATGAAAATGTTATATCATTGACGATGCGTCGTCGCTATTGACTCGCATAAATTAAATTTCCATAAATTTCACATTCCGAACATGGTTTTATTTTGTGTTTTTCTTTTCTTTCTCTTTCTTCCTTCCTGTCATTGCTGAATGTTTCATCGTTTACATCATTCTGAATCGATTGGCGGGGACGCTTTCCGCTGCAGCTTATCACACCGGACACAAGTTCATTTAAGCTGTGAGTGAGCTTTTATTTTCTTCTGGAGAATTTTTCCTTTTCTCATTACTCAACAGTTTCGCCAACAACGACCATTAATTTAATTCATTCTCATCATTCCTTCGCAAATATTGCAAGGAAAATTTATAATAATATTAATAATAAAAATAATAATAATAATAATGATACTAAGCCAACCAATGTTGGATGATTTTATTTACAACAAAAGAAGAAAGAAAATTAAAATAATTTTTTCATTATAAAATGAAATTAACAAAACAAATATTAAATGCAAAAAAAAAAATCATAAATAAATGATAAAATTATTAAATTAAAATTATATCTCGATTAAGTCACGCAGAGCGAATCTACATTTGAACCTTGATTAAACATATTTATATATACATACATATATATTTAAAAGCATAAATTTCAGAAGAAATGAAACACAATTTAGATAATAATTGTTACAGTATAAAATTTTGAAAAGGAACGAAGATAAGAAATCTTTTGAGAACGTCTTAAAATGGAAGACGATTTATTATAGATTAATTAACATTTTTTTTGAATCTAAAAGAAGAAGATGAAGACATGAATACTTCCCCACATTAACACAACATATTAATCTTAAATTAAACGTGACAAAAAAAAATTAATGCATGATGGAACTATGATTAAGGACTGAAAAATGCATAAACTAATAAATTGGTGGAAAACCGGAAGGAAAGAAATTTGATGATGATATTTAAGCATAAAAATTTATTAAAAAAAAAAGTTTTGTGATGACCAACATTGCATTAATCCTGGCATTAACTTTAAATGGCATATTTAATCAATGCGCTCAAGCTACTTATCTCTCACCTTTTTTTGATAAACATTTTGATATGTGAACGGTGATGTAAACCAAAATGAGAAAAAAGAAATAATAAGTAATAATAATGAATATAATTGCGATATTAAATGTGTGAAACCGATAACGAAACCTTTAATTAAATCAAATCAAAATTTGAAGAAAAATAAAACTTGATGTTAATTATATACACAGCACTCCCATAAGCGTAAAATGCTGAAACAGAAGTACATAAATATGATGTAAATTAATTACAAATCACGTATATGTCACGAAACATAAAAACAAAAACGAAAGAATAACAAACACAATATGATGCTTCTTACGATTATGTTATTTGAGTTTCTGTCGCAACATATTGATATTATCCCCAAGGAAAAGCAATGATGAAAAAAGAGTAATAATATTTCATGTCAATTCTTTGCTTCCCCATCAAACTCGTGCAATAAGAAAAATATTGAGATGATAAGCAAATAAATTTTTAGGTAGGAAGTGAAAGAAAAATGATGCAATTTCCTTTAAGTTTATTCGTGAAAATATTACAGATAATTGAAGATAAAAAAAGTAAAATGCTAAAACCATTAGTGATTTCACTAAAAACCATTGTGAATCCAAAAATGTGATAAAGTTATTTGAGATATTTAAAAAAAGAATTAAATTGTGGAATGAAAAGTTACATTTAACTTTCATCTCCGCCCTCGATAGTTCCATCTCTAAAACATTGTGCCAAAAAAAACCAAAAAATCGTTTTGTTTGACCAAGCAAATGCACACTGCATATAAGGTCGATATATTGGAAGAAATAAAAACAAAAAACTTCTTTTTAATACTTATTTCTGTCCATTTCCACAAAACTTTAACCGGAAAATTTAAAAGTCAAAGTTACCGAAGAAAAGGAGAAAAAATTTGGAAAAGAAGCTCAACTCGTACGTACTTAGTCGTCAATTGACAGTTTAAAACTTGGTTTCCTGGTGAGTTTTATTAAGTTCACTTGAGTTGAATGAGAAAATGTTTTTCACATGAGGATATCAAATAAATATCCTGTGTAAAGCAAAATATGAAACTTTTCTCTTAAGTTGCGGTTTTTCCCTTTTTCCCACCACTCCACTTCAACCAATCAAACACTTCTTTCTGTTGACACTTCTGTTCCTTTTCCTAATTCATTCATAAATGTTTACAAATCGAATTCCCACCTTCAGTGAAATAACATAAACTTCACCCAAATGATGAAAATTGTTGAAAAAGTAAAGAATACAAAAGAAAAGTATTTTGAAAGGAAATTTTATTGTAAATTTAAACAAAAAATGAAAAATATTGGAAATAAGCGAAAAAAAAATCGAACAATCGAATTGTTGTAGTGTAATAAAAGGGAGACGAAGCATCTCCCCGGCGCTACCGTAGAAAAAAAATTGTTGGCGCTTGGGGTATTACAAAATGTAGAGAATCATGAATGACACTGTTCAAAAATGTTTTTACGTGAAATTGTGGAATGGTTTCTGTTTCGTAAACGGGAACATCTGATAAGAAAGTGTTATTAAATACCTAAATATTAATGGTAAACTATGTTCTTTATTGGAAGCAAATTTCGAAACTGTAAAGCGATTCATTCGCGTAGAATGTGTGTACAGACTCATGAAATTATTTTCGATAAGAAATTGAATTTAAATGCGAACAAATCATCGGTAAAATTGCTTGAAAAGAAAATGTTTAAAACGAGGGAAATTACGACTTTGAATCGTGTCGTCTTTTTGGATTTGTGACGGATATTCTTTTCAATTTTCATTTCTCTTCTCATTCGTAATCGCTCGTAATAACTTTTTCGTGGTTAACGACAACATGAGATGAAAGAAGGAAAAACGATGAAGATAACAAAACATAATCTGTACAAAACTTTTCTGCATGAATGCATCGCAATGTGCATCGAAATATGTAAAAGTGAACAAGCACGAATGAAGGGAACTTTACATCATATTTTATCTGCATGTGAAAACAACATAAAATCAACGACATAAACATTCACACAACATCCGAAAACAAAAAGTTGAATAGAAAATGGAAATAAAACAGTAAATATAAATTATACTATACAACAATATTTATAGTACGAAAAAAAGGTATATTTATATATTAACTTATATTAAAAGAGTAAAAGAAAAAATGAGGATGAAAATTAACACTGGCAATATAAGTTTAAGTGATAATAAAACATTAGTGGGTGATGATATTACGCCACAAGTTCTAAATCCATTCCCATAACAAAAACGTGAAAAATTCTTAGAGAAAGTAAAATAAATATGTGTCAAACGAAGAATCGTTTAGTGGCCAAAAAGTTAAGGCATGAGATGAAAATTCATTTGTGAGAGCGGAATGTTGTTGAAAATAGTTCGACAAGCTCTTTGATTACTTAGATATCTAGTAGATAACATGCAGAGATGGTCGTAAAATGTAGTTAATTAAATAAACTGGATGATGCAGTATAAAATATATACACATTAATTAAATTTTAAGAATGCTGTAACGGGTAAAAAATCTTGAAAATGAAATATTTAAGTAGAATTTTCCACGTCAACTCTTTTCAACAAAATATAAGAAGAGTAAACACTGACAAAGCTGTAGAACTTGCAATATTATTATACGAAAGAAAAATCGTAGAACGAGAATAATGTTAGAGAGGAAAAGGATTTTGCATAAGAAACTAATTTTGAGAAAATTTAGCCAAGTCTGGGCTTGGGTAGTGCGTGAGACGACAAGGCTAAGATAAATAGTAAAAAGAAGATTCAACGAAGCGCAAATAAGACTCTTTCACTCGTACCCGAAAAATAAAACCCTCATAAGAAATCCAAACTCCAACCACCCCTTAAGAGAAAAAAATAAATAAAAAATAAAATAAGCAACACTTACAAACACACACACACTCATATACTCACATAGGAACGCTGTAAGTGGCACATGGGCTCAAATCTAGAAAAGAAAAACGTCTTCGCATTAAAATTAAATAAACTCAAAAAACGAGAAGTTCTTTGTTATTGCTGTACATGTGATGGAATCTCGGTTAGTCGAGGGAAGAAAAATCTTTTGTTCATGTCATGCTAGGATTTTTTCCTTTCATTTTTCTTGTGTGCGTTTAGCTTTATTGTTGCTTTATTTTTTCCTCTTTACGGCTGTTAAAGTCGAGGGTTGAAAATATAGAAAGAAGGAGTTTCAAGCTAAACCCCGATAAAGAATTTACTAAGCCAAATCATCCCAACAAGAGTGAAAATATCTTTTCTGTGTATGTTGATTTACTTACTTGAATCCCTTTGAAAATTATGAGAAAAAAGGTTCAGTATGATCATCATTATGGTTATTTTACGCTGCTGTAACTGCTGCATTACTTATCTATTGTCATTGCTAAAGACAAACTTTTATTTTATTTTTTTACTTTAAAGAACCAAATCTCAAGTTTGCCTTTCATGCCTCATTTATGTTTAAAGTTTTTATCGTAACATTGAGAAACGTAATGCAGAAGAGGAAAGAGATGAAAAATTTTGACAATAAATTGAGACATTAAAACGTGTTCGACCCGTTTAATCAATTCTCTTTTCTTGCCGCGTCTCCTGAATCATAATTCAAAAAACATTTTATTTATCAAAAATTTTATCTTCCCTTGAACTAACGAGCGTAAGACAAAAACTTAAATCAAAAGCAATAAAAATTTTCTTGTCGATGAAACTTGAAGCCTTTAAGGCTCCTAAGTCATGACTAAAGTACTGTGACCAGAAGTTTAGAGTGTATTTATATGATGAAGAAAATTTAAACTTTTATCCATTTTCATGATTTTATAGACATCGAGTCATTGATTATAAACATACATTTTTCCTTAAAACAATGTTGATATCTTTCTCTCTACTCTAAATATGCGCTTTCTATCTTTCTTTTTAAAATCAAGAAAAGAAATGAAAGTCTTATATTTTAACAGAAATATTGATGTTTAGATACATAAATGCTGTTTCTCTAAGAATCTACATAAAATCTACTTTTCCTTCATCTAAATCTCTAACTCTGTCTTTCTTAGATACTGTAACAAAAGTTATGCACTTGCATAAACCTCAATGTTTCCTTCCTTCTCACTCATTTATCATCTCTTATTGAATCGATGACAAATGAACAAATGTATTTTGACATTCTTTTAATAAGTATAACAAAATAAAAATAATATTGCATAAATAACTCAAGCAATTATGTAATCAAATGAATGTTGTGATAACTCTCAGTCTCTTTGCCATGAACAAAGATGAAGATCCTTTTAAACCACTACATAAAATTGACAGCAGGAATGCTTTCTTCTTAAAATATTTTCACGAAAATATAATTTTGTTGTCTCCTTTCCAAAAAAAGAAATAAGATAAAATTCCAAACAGAAGAAGAAGAAATAAATTTTCAATTAATTTCCATCGCGCGATATCTCAGATTAAGCGCAGAACGAGTAAAATCGCAACCAGTTTTACAACAATTAAAGAAGAAAGTAAAAAGATGAAACTCTTTTAATTACGTTTTAAAATGAATAATTATACAATATTTAATAAGGGAAATCTTACATTATATACATTGGCCTATATACATGCAATTATATATTGAGAAAGAACCTTAATAACATAAGATAGATGTCTGAAGCAAATAAAAGAAAAACTAGCATAATATCAAAATGAGAAATGAAATGATGGCAAATCTTTTAAATATTTCAAACAAGTATCAATTTTATTACCTTCAATATTGATTTTAAATTTCGAATTGAGTTTTCCTGTTAGATACGAATTATTGAAAAATCAATCGTGGAATTTATGATTTATTGTTCCGATTTGTTGGAATAAGTTTAATTTGTTTCGAGCAATAAGTTATAACTTTATCTATTAAAGCTTTAAAATCATTCGTTATTCGTACCATGCTTTCTGGCAACTATTTTCATCATCTTCGTGATTTTAAATGATTTTATTCATCTTTCAATAATCATGGTGAAAACATTTCCTTTAATTTTTTAATCTATTTACAAGTGGATCTATCACAAAATCTATTTGAAAAATAAAAATATTTATATTTAGTCTAATGAATATGGGAACGATGAAATTTATTATATTAAAAAGTCTAATAATGACCTAAAGGTTGTGTTTAAGAACATAAAAAATAAGATTAAACTACAAAAGAATAATAATTTTCATTGAACATTAATAAGTAATGGTGAATCGTGAATTATTATTAATTTCTAAAGAATTAAAAACCCAAATCAAAAGCACGTATAATTAAAATCTGCGTAGATAAGGACAAGTATGACATTTTCGGGAAATATGTATTTAGATACTTAGATTTTCCTTACTAAGAGCGAATGAGATAAAATCTACAATTGTGAAGATTATACTCTTCAAAGAGGATGGAAATGCATTCGAATCATATACATTAAAACATTACATAATTAAAGTGACATATATACTTATAAATTATACACATAGCATTATTAAAACTGATGATATATATATACACACATAATGCGGCAAGCAAAAAGATGCCAAATAAAATGTAATAATAAATAATTAGGTGATAAGATAAAGTCAATATACAAAAAGATGTATAAGTGAAAAACAAGCAATTAAATATAAATGAAGAAAAGAAAATCGTAAGTGTACCTCCAACATTAATTCTGTGAAATTTAAACTATAAAATGTATTCCCCATTCCCTGTCTCTTAACATTAAGTACGGAGGAATCCCATCACGTCAAACTAAAAAATATTTTCCTTTATTTAGCAAAAATTTTCAACTTTTCCATTAAAATTTTCAACTTATAGATGTGTACTTTTCGTCTTCGATAATGAGTGGCAATAACATTTGAAATGAATTGAAAAGTTGAAAAATTAAATGACGAAACGAAAGGCAACATTTTACATTGCTATTTTCCGGAATGAGAAAAAAGTGAAGTGTTTATTTGAAATAAAATGTTTCTGATCATTTCATTCATTCATTTTGAAAGCGTTTAGATTAGATCTTACGGAATTAAAAACATAAAATGAAAGCTAATGTCGGAAAAAAAGAAAAACTGAAGGAACGATTTAAAGCATTTTGATTTTCATTATTTGACCTGAACGCTTTCAATTCTCTAAATATTTACTAAAAGAATATTTGAAACTAAACGAAGATAAGAGGAAAATGTACATCTAAATCATAAGAAAAACAATAAAAATACATATAATAATAATAAGAAAAATGTAAGAAAAGTGTTTTTAGTTATTTCAAAAAAGAATTTTTTTCAGAAAAAATAAAAATAATTAAAAAAATTTCCCATACCGGGAATCGAACCCGAGCCTCTTGGGTGAAAGCCAAGTATCCTAGCCACTAGACCATATGGGATGGTATGCTGTGATTACTCTCGTGACAAACAACATATATAAATTGTAACCAAGATTAACAAACTTAATAATTTATTTGTAAGAATGTCTTACAAACTAACACACTGCATGTAATAATC